GAATGTTTATTCTCAGAAGCAAAGAGCTTTTAAAAATTATCCTCTAGAGAGAAGACAATAGGCCAGAATATTTGATGTTCTAGCATTAGTGGATGCTAACAACACAAAACTTATTTTCTTTTTTTTTTCTCTTTCCTTTAACAAGCTCTTCAGCATTTCAAACAATAGTGAATGAGGCCTTTGAGTAACATAAATTTTTGTTTGTTTTTCCAGGTCTATAAAGGTGAATTTCAGCTTCCTGACTTCCTCAGGGAAGTGCCACAGGTACAGTATGGAATTCATTTCCTTTTTGTGGGTGTAGCAGCAAAGGATATCAAACAGCCTTTATTTTATAAACCACTTGTTCATGAGCCTGATTTTCTGATTGATGGTGAGATTTGCTGATTATCCATGAGGTGGAATCTTGAACTCAGCATCCCAAACCTCTCCTGAATCCGTGTGGAACTCCAGGGTGAAGAGTGGTGTTTGTCACCCTGAGCTGCCTCAATATTGCTGTGAAATGGAAGGAAAAACTGAGCCTCTTTTGTGGACAAAACTGCAAAGTTTGTTACTTCTAGAGGAGCTTTATCTTTTCTTATCTTGGTTTAAAGCAAGTCTAGTCCAGAGGGCAGGGTTATAAAACCTGAGAGATTTTAAAAATAAATAGAGATTTTATCAAAGTCAACAAACCCAGCCATGGATAGGGGTGGTGTTGATTTAATAGTGTGCTATGGAACTTGAGGTTTTACTGAAAATTCACAATTTGGTACCCCCCAAATGCTGTTCTTTGTCATCAGCTCCCTAAGGGACCTACAAAAAAAAATAAAAACCAAAGAAAAACCCTTATTGTGAAGCTCTCAAACTGTAGGATCTTGTTGATATCACAGAATTGTAAAATCCCAGAATGATTTGGGTTGAAGGGACCTTAAAAATAATTTTTTCCACCCCCTGCCATGGACAAGGACACCTTCCACAATCCCAGGTTGCTCCAAGCCCTGTCCAACCTGGCCTTGAACACTTCCAGGGATTGAACAGGTTAAAAATACCCAGGAATCTACCACAGACAAAGCATTTTAACTTCTCCATTTGTTCAAATAAAAATCATTTGATTAAAAAGGAAAACTGATTTCTTTTGTTCCAGCCAAAGAAGACAGTAGAAAGGAAGTCTCGTGGCAAGATAAAATGAACGTGGAGCAGTAAAAGAGGCATAGCTGTAGTGTGTGTTTCATGTTTTCAGAAAATAACCCTGCTGTGGCCACCAAACCTTTCTGAGCAGCCTTTGTGTGATCTCTGACGTGGCCTTGGCTTTGCTGGCTCTTTGCCTGCTTGGATCACTCAGTGCTCCTGCTTTGCTCAGCTCTGGAGAACCATCCCAGCCCTGTCCCTGTCCCTGAGTGTCTGTCCATGTGTGCTGCTCACCTCTCAGCAGCTGCTGGGCTCACTGCCACGTGGGGCTGCTCTGGGATTGCTGGAGTGGGATGTGCTTTACCAGGAGGGGAAATATTGTGAGAGGGGTTGGTGGAAAATGCAGGGAGATCATTCAGAATTGAGCACATCGTGTGTAGATGGTGTGCTAGCAAAAAAAAATCCTGGGTTTTTAATAAATCCTGGGTTAAATCCTTGTTTGAATACAGTATCAGTGGTTTTCAGTTATCCTGGGGTACCCAGAACCACTCTGATAAATTCCTTCTTCACTCCACTGGATAGGGAGGTTCCTGCTAAATCCCAGGAGGTGAATTTATAAAATTAGCTTGGTTTAAAGACAATATTTACCAAAATCTGAGCAGATTTATCCATAGCAAAGACAGACCATCCAAAAGACAAAAATAAGCACTGTGGAAGAGTGAAAGAATATTCCTTAAACCATAAAAACCTGATCAAATTGTTTCTGGTAGTGTTCTCCTTTAGCATTAACATAATGTAACTGAAGAACTCAAAGGTTTGGAGAGCAGACATGGGTACTGATATTTTTGTCCTCTAATGTAAAATAGCTAATTTCATTTTAATTATTTTTTTGACAGACTGAACCTATGGAATAGAAGATAAAATGGACATTTCTTGCACAGAAGGTAATAAAAGAGCATTGCAGTTCTGCTTATTTGTTGTTCTTAGTTCAAGATGATTTTGGTTTAACTTCTGTAATTCCATGGGTAAGGTAAATATGCAGGTTTGTTTTTTAAAGGAAGCTGCTAAAGAAGAGCTGGTTTGTGATATTTGATTTAACATCTCACAGCCAGTATTTCCAAAAATCTGCTTTTTAGTCACTGAATAAACAGTGACAAAATTTTGCAGGGAGCTGAGTAAATTCCAGACCAGTTAAGGAATGAGTGATACAAGATTTCCTGTGTTAATCCAGGATTTTTCTGCTGTCAGATGTTCTGGCCTGACAACAAAAGATGGCAAAATTTAAATCCAGTTTAAAATAGCCCAAAGCAGTGTGCCCTACAAATATCCCCAAAATAGATCCTTATGTGACCATAAATATAAACACCCTAAATATAGCCTAAAGCACTGCTCTGTGTAGAAATAATGGCTCTAAAATCTTCCCAGAGATGAATTACAGACCTTGACTGTGAAATCAATAGAGAAACCATCATCTGTTCACACAGTCAATTTAAAATAATGAAAGCATCAACCTCACTTTGCCACTTAGCTCTGAAAAATGGGTTTCAACCTGCAATATTTCTGTCTGAAGAAACCAAACTGGGAACTTCCCAGCATAACTTCCCACTGGCTCACGAGCCTTTGGGATGTCAGTGGAAAATCAATATATATCTATTTTTTTACACCATGCTGCAAGCAGTGTTTCTAATTATAAAGGAGGGACAAAGCAGCTCCCATTCCTTACAATGGGGTTTGTCCTGGCAGTGATTCCCACCTGCTGAGACAACAGTGGCTGCTCTTAATTCTGCAATATTTGCAATTCCAAAATGCTGTCCAGGATAAAAACCTGAATATCACCAGAAAATATTCCAACATCACTTTATTTCTTTTTCTTTAGATCAGCTGCTGCCTTTTCCATGGGAAGGATCCCCCCTGGCATCAGAGATGTGCTGCTCTTGGCCTGCTCTCTTCAGAATCTTCTCTCCTCTTTCTTTCATCTGTTTTTGTTCCAAATTTTGCTGTTGTGAGCGCATGTAAATCTGTTAAAAAACAAAAAAAAAATCACAGATGTTAATGTAGAACTGCATTACATTCGCACAATTATTTTTTTCTTAAGGTTTTAAAAAATGCAGAAGCAATGCCTGTCTCTGAAATTGCTCCTCTGTTTTAATTACAGGGCTCCATCTTCAGATTTTTTTTGTTTCTTGTAGCAGTTTTGTTTTAAATGTACAAAGCTTTCAAGAGTGGTCTGTGCTTGTCCTGGAAGATTCTTGGTGGAAAAGTTATTTGTTTTATTCATATGTGAAAAATGTTAAATATCTTTTATTTAAAAAGAAAAAAAAGTTGATAAATTACATGTACAATTACAATTCAATGATCTTTTGTATTTTATTTTTCAAAATAAATGCTTTAAATGTGATTTATTTATTTATTTATTTATTAATTAATGGTCTTGTTTCCAAGTTAAAATTTAAATAATTCAAGATATTGATGTGTTAGTAATAATTCAAGATATTGATGTGAGGGAAGATATGCTGTTGTGGGTTTGGATCTTATTTTAAGGTTTGCAGTTTAATGCTTTTTGTTTGCTTTTAATAGCTGGGTGATGAAGAAATAGTAAATTGGAGTGTCCCACTGAGAGATGTAAAGTGAGATTTGTTTGCTGCAGGTAGAAGTAGGTAATTTTAGACTCTTGCATTTCTTCCTTAACAGCAATTTTGTTCAGAGATGCTCTGCTGGGGGAAAACTGCTGTGAGTTGTATCCTAAAGTTTCGATCTTTAGGATACAACGTGGAACATGATTATTCCATAAGTTATTTTTGGGATGGTCATTGTGGCTCAATTTCTGTTCCTTTCGCTGGCTCAGGGCGCTGAAGGCGGTTTCCGCCTTCCCCACTGGTTTGGAGAGGAGTTGGTGCCAGAACATTTATATTTCCTCGCATTGTGGGTCTGACAGAGTTCTGCTTTTCCT